TTATAAGTCCCTATTGTAATCCCCATTGCCCAATAAATCATTATTAAGTATATAACTAGAAAAGGTTCCTCTTGTTTTATTTGTGGCCATATATGTAAACATCTACCGACTGAGCCTGCGCGTAACTGGAACCCGAGCCCCCACTACGAATTAAGTGATGGATTCGCTTAATTCAAGTAGTGGTCAACCACTACATACATATCAGAATTTCTCATTTTGGCATTACAGCAATTGGTTAAGAAGATTGTGAATTTTCTTAATGCTAGTTTGTCTCCTACTGTTATCTTTGGCCACTGATCTGCCTTGCTCCGTTAAGCTGCTGCCAGTATTGGTGGTTGCCCATAGTCTCGTTTCAACAGCTGAACTACACGCTCATACCCAGCCGGTGGTGGCTCGATCATTTAACATTCTTTAATTAGCTCAAATGCTTCACCCTTTGTAGACTTCAACAGCAGTTCTAAACGTCGTGCTGGGTCTTCTGTTTTGGTTTCCACAGTGTACTTAAAGTTTCTTATGAATGTCATATACTCTAGGACATCGGTCCCGTCAAATTTGGGCACTTCTGGAGTCGGAAGTGCAGCTTCCTTCTGTTGAACTATTAGCTTATTCATGATTTCAGCCATTGTGTTATCAATGTTCTTTGTTTTGCTGTATTGTTCAGTACTGTATGATGAATTGGATTTACTGGTGGAGATTGATCATCAGCTGGGGTAATATTTGTGCTTGTAGTTGCCTTATTATCATTATTAGACGGTAATTCGTCACTGTTCAATCCCACAAATGATTGATGATTTCCTTGTTCCCACATTCCGGTAACAACTGGAGTGATAGGCCTATTTATGTGTTCAACTGGGTTATTATCTGGTGGTGTGGGGTTAATAGCTGTAATTTCTTTTGCCCACGGTTTTGTACCAGTTGGGATGATATTTGTGGGTTAATTTGGCTTACAATTATTGGTAGCTAGCAATTGGTTGCTGTTCATAGCCATAAGTGATTGATAATTTTCTTCCCACATTCTGGTGACAGTCTGAGCTGCATTTAGTTCAGCTTCAACTTCTACTGTTTTTTGCTCGTTCTCAAGCTTAATCATTTCTTTCTCTAACTCCTGTATTCTACGTATTCTTAATGCCCTTTCTTTGGCACGTATCACTTCTTCCTCAGCGTCTTGTAACTCCAACTTGTAACTAACAGCCTGCTTACGTTCCTCCAATTGACGTCTTTGGTTAAGGGCTGCAATTTCGTCAAAATGGAGATAAGACCAGTCAATGTTTTTGGACAAGTGTATGTACAATATGTGATTGTTTTATTAGGCCTACTGATCTTTACCAATCATTACAGTGCCATAGGACTAGTGACAAACTATATAAATGCAACTCCATCGTTTTGTTTTCTGTTACTGTCCGGTGATGTG